ACTGCTGGTACCACCACTCCAGACTCCAGGGCATGTCTGCTCGTTCATCTGGCTCATCCACCCTTGCCTCTTCCGTACAACCAGGGTACTTCTCTGACCCATTCTTTCTGGCAGTTATCACTCTTCCCATGGCTAGCCCTGCTCATGAGGCTAATGACAATAATCTATTTCTTTCCTAGCAACCTGCCTCCTCAGCTCCCTCAAGGGTCTCCAGGATGACAGCTAACTGAATGCTTCTTCACTTACACCTCCCACTGTGTATGACCCTGACTTCCAACTTCCCCCTTCCCACTTTGTTTCAAATCAGCAGGAAGCAGTCTCTAGAATTTGGTACCCTCATTCCCTCTCCCCAACTTGCTATTCACAATTCACCTTCTTATAATAATCGAAATGGAAGAAAGTTAGCATTCAAGGAATCCTGGCCAATAAGCAGATAATACTCTCTCCTGCCCAGCATCCAATGCCATCCCGTTTCCTTTAAGAAAGGACTCCTCTCCCTTTGCTCTCTCTCTCTGCCCACCCCACCACAAAGTAGCAAGTACCTCTCCCCTCACCTCTCTCCCATCTCTCCTTCTCCTCTTTCTTTCTCTCTCTCTTTCCCTCTCCCCTCTCCATTCCCTCCACCAAATAAAACTCTTCACTGAGTGCTGTCTTCATGGCATCTCTGTCTCTTACCCACTGTGGGGCACCCTGGCTCAAGCCTGCCAAGGTTTCTCTCTTGCCATATCATAACAGCTACACCATTCCCATGATACCAAAATCTGTGTTCAGACAATACACTGTTATGCCTTAGGATGCAAGTCATCAGGGAGTTAGAACTCTTCCTGCTGTGAGTGACAGCTTACTCTTATTGGGGCTCCAGTTTCTACATGGTCAGTTTATTTAAACAAACAAACTGTGGTAGAATAGAAACAATGGAAATTTTGTTTTGTTTTGTTTTAAGCCAGGGCCTCTCTACATAGCCCTGAATGTCCTGGAACTCACTATGTAGAATAGGCTGGCTTTCAGCTCATAGAGATCCACACAACTCTGCCTCCCAAGTACTTCGATTAAAAGCATGCAAACAATGGAAAATTTTAAAGACAGAAGGGCCTGGAAAGATGCATTCCAAGTTCTGAAAGATTATAACTGTTGACCCAGACTATTATATCCAGCAAAGCTATCTATTACAATTGATATAGAAATAAAAACTTCCATGATAAAATCAGATCTAGAGAATTTATGACTGCTAATTCAGCTTTACAGTGGACCCTGGAAGAAATACAGGGCTCTGAGGAGAAGGACAAACATAGCTAAGAAGTCACAGGGAATAAATAGGCAGCACTACAACAGTCTATCAGAAGAGGTCAAAGAATACCACAGAGTAAATGACAAAGCCAGGAGTGGTGGTGCAGGATCCCTGTAAGTTGGGGGCCAGCCTGGATTCTAGGACACAGTGGATTCTAGGACAGCCAGAACTACATGGTGAAACCCTGTCTCAAAATACAAAATCAAAAACAAGCAAAACAAAACAAAAAGCAATGACAGGAATTAGCATATATCTGTCAATAATAACTCTGAATATTAAGTCCCCAATAAAGAGAGACTAGCAGATTGGATCTGAAAATAGAATCCATCTTTTTGCTGCCTCCAGAAACCACAGCATATTATCAATGATAAATGTGACCTCAGGGTAAGGGTGCAAAAGCAAATGAATCTAGGACACAAGCAGGTTAGATATTCTAATCTCTAATAAAGTAGACTTCAACATAAAACTATCAAAAGAGATAAGGGGGGATACTTAATACTTACCAAGAGGACACTGCAATCTTACACATATAGACACTAATCACAGAGCCACCCATTTCATTTTGAAATGCTATTAAATGTGAAACCACAGGTTGACTAACACACCTATAGGGTGTGACTTCAATACCCAACTCACATCAGTAGATAGGCTATGTGGACACAATCTGAGCAGAGAAACATGGCTGTTAAATGATGTCAGAAGTCAGATGGAGTTAGGCCTAGTGATGCATGCCTTTAATCCCATGCAGAGGAAGGCAGGTCTCTGTGAGTTTGAGGACAGCTTTCTCTACATATTGAGTTCCAGAACAGCCAGAGACTAGTAGAGAGAACTTTCTTTCTCTCTCTCTCTCTTTTTAATTTTATTTTATTTTACAATACCATTCAGTTCTACATATCAGCCACGGGTTCCCCTATTCTCCCCCCTCCCACACCCTCCCCTTACCCCAGCCTACCCCCCATTCCCACCTCCTCCAGGGCAAATCCTCCCCTGAGGACTGCAATCAACCTGGTAGACTCAGTCCAGGCAGGTCCAGTCCCTTCCTCCCAGACTGAGCCAAGTGTCCCTGCATAAGCTCCAGGTTTCAAACAGCCAACTCATGCAATAAGCACAGGACTTGGTCCTACTGCCTAGTTGCCTCCCAAACTGATCAGGCCAATCAACTGTCTCACCTATTCAGAGGGCCTGATCCAGCTGGGGGCCCCTCAGCCTTTGGTTCATAGTTCATGTGTTTCCATTCATTTGGCTATTTTTTTTCAATAATTGAGTAGAACCGAAATTTATTATAAGCCACAGTCGTCCTAGGGACCTCCATACTATATATATAGCCTCTATGGTTCTATGGGCTGTGGTCTGATTGTTCTTTATTTTATATCTAGAATCCACTTATGAGTGAGTACATACCATAACTGTCTTTCTGGGTTTGGGTTACCTCACTCAGGATGATTTTTTCTAGTTCCATCCATTTGCCTGCAAATTTCATGCTTTCATTGTTTTTAGAGAGAACTTTTTTTCAAACAAACAGACAGAAAGGAAAAGAAAAAAGAAATCAAGTGGACCTAACAGACATCTATAGAACATTCTACCCACACACTAAAGAGTACACATATACACATTCTTCTTAGCAGACCGTGGAGCTTTCTCAAGAATGTATCACCCATTAGAACACAAATCAAGTGTCAACAGACACAGGACAACTTAAATACCATCCTGCATTCTGTCTGACCACAACAGAATTAGGCAACATATCAGTAGCAAAAAAAACTATAGACAGTACACAGACTTAAGGACACTAAAGAGCACACCACTGAATGGTGATTATCATTAGGAAGAAATATGGAAATTAAAAAGTTTCAAGAATGTTTTCGTTGGTGGCAGCACATGCCTTTAGTACCAGCACTTGGGAGGAGGAGGAGAGGTGGATCTCTGAGTTCAAGGCCAGCCTGATCTACAGAGTTTCAGAATAGCCTGTACTCCACACAGAAAACTTGTCTCAAAATATAAAAACAGAGAGGAGAGAGAGAGAAAGAGAGAGAGAGAGAGAGAGAGAGAGAGAGAGAGAGAGAGAGAGAGAAGAGGAAAGAAAAAAAGAAAGAAAATCTAAGAATTGAATGGAAACGAAAACATAACATGTAAAAATCTACAGGGCACAGTGAAGGCAGTCCTAAGAAAAATGTTTGTAGCACAAGTGTATCAAATTTTTTGAGATATCACCAATTAACAACTTAATGATGCACTTGAAAGCCTTGGAAAATCAAGAGCAAACAACACCTCCAAACTATAGATTGGATGATACAATAAAAAATAGAATTGAAAAAAAATTACAAAGACTCAATAAAATGAGCAGTTGGGTCTTCAAAAAGATAAACAAGATTGACAAATCCTTGGCCAAATTACACAGAGAGAGTGAGATTGCAATAGATGCAAGTGGATTGAGTACAGACACTCAGAAGGACATACTTTAAAGACCTGTATTCCATGAAACTGAAAAGCCTAAAAGACATGGATGAAATCATAGATGCATACAGCATAACAAAATTAAATCAAGATGAAATGAAAAGTTTAGACAGATCCATAACCAGGAATAAGATTGAACCAGAAAAAAAACCCTCCCAAACTTTAAAAGGCCCAGAACCAGATAGATTCCCTGCAGAATTCTACTAGACCTTAAAGAAATTCACACCAGCACTGCTCTAATTCTTTCTGAAATAGAAAATGAAGGACAGCTCCCAAACGTTTCTCTATGAAGCCAGTATTACCTGATACCAAAACCAGATCAAGACAAAACAAACAAGCAAAAAGTACAGACCAACCTCCCAGGTAAAGAAACATGAAAAAATTTTCAATAAAAACACCGGCAAACTGAATTTCTATGTATACAAACAATATTATTCATCACAATCAAGTTGGTGTCATTCCAAAGATGTAGGGATGGTTCAACATAAGTAAATCAATTCGTGTTATCATCACACAATGTACTCAAGGATAAATCACATCATTATCTAATTGGACACAGAAAAAGCCTTTGACAAAATCCAGTGTTTCTTCAGGACAAAAATGGAGATGCTAGGGATGGAGGGAACTTGCCTCAACCTAATAACAGCTAACAGCTATACACAAAAAACATATAGCCAACAACATACTAAATGGAAAAAAATCAAATAGTTCCCATTATGATTAGGAGAGACTTTGAAAAGAGAATGCTCTTGTAGTAGGGAGTTCTAAAGGTCTTGGTGGGATTTAAGCCATCATCAGCAAGTGTGTTTGGAAGCTCAGATCTTATCACTTATGTCTATTGTTCTCTGACATTAGTTTTACTGTAATGTGTCAAGCAAGAGCCTGGCATAGATTACTGCAGGCACTGAGCACTTGTTTATGTCATGGACTGCTAAAGTACACCTGGAATGGCTGAGTGAAGTTTTTATGCCATAGCAAAGGTATGGTAAGATTCTGGGTCTCCCACTTTTCCTCTGCTCTTTTCTACTTGTGACTCTAGTTCCTAAACCATTTGATGTGGTACTTTGGCAAGTCCCCTCCTCTTTATTTACTATTTATTGCTCTTTAAGGACTACGTTGTGCATTTGCTTTCCTTCAGGAAAGTTTTACAATCATTCCAATGGTGCAATCATCCTCAGGCTGTTGCACACACACCACTCATGTCAGGTGTGTTCTTGACAAGCAATTTTCACTGCATGGCACAGTATGGCAGAGGTACCTGAAGTGAGGGTGCTCCTTGAAGAAGGCTTGCTCCTTCTCAAGGGCCTCAGTCAGTGTCATCTTTTCCTGGATGTCCTGCTGATCCCTGCACTTGACTATCATGTAGCCCTTCTTCAGGTGGTACACCAGGTTCCGCACCACATCAACGACCTTGTCTTCAGTTCCTCTGTCCACAAGATCGGGCTTGGTCAAGATCCCTGCAGGACAGACACTGAAATCAGAGGAAACACACCAAGAGAGCAGGAAGTGTAGCTCTCACTGGGCACCAGGATCCCATCCTTAGATGAAGCCCACAGAAACCATGCATGGTGGAAGCCTGCCCACAGAGACATGTGTAGATAGTCTTGTGAAGACAACAAAGTCCCTCAATCAGCCTCAGGCTCCTTCCTAGCACCTCTCCATTGCCACCACCCAGACAGACAACAATTGTTCATCCTCACACACTGTGGACCTTACCATGACTCCTATGACAGTGAGTCTCAGAAAATATGATTTCCTCCCCGTGCTTGCCCACCTCTGACTCCTCATGCCTTTCCTACCAGGGAGATGAGATGAACTGGTCACTTCCTCCCACCTCAGTGGGATCCTGGGTGTGGACTGAGCTTAGTCCATCTGGATCCAGGGCTTGTGTCCCCACTAGCAAACCAACACCACTGTTACCTCCCACTCTCCTACCTATGGTCCTGTCCCCTTCAGGATCCACCTCCTGAGCCATGCTCAATGCCTCCGTGGTGGCGATGTCCACATTACTGGGGACCACTACCAGGTTGATGGTCTCCTGTTTTTGGATGTATGTCTTGATGAGTCTCTTGATCTGTAAGAAATGAAATGGTGACTCCTAGTTATGAAAACAGGATCGAGAGTGATATGGTTGTGACCATCCACTTGCTTCAGGCCCTGTCTTCCATGGACTGCAACCCTCTCTAGTAAATTCTGGCCATCCAGTCTCACTTCCACCTCCTCAAGGTCCCTCTTAGACATAGCCCTGGTCATACTTTAGTACCTCTTGCATCCCAGTGTAGCTCAGAGTGAAGTCTAGAGTCTTACCTGCTGTCCAATGTCTGCAGATTGATTGCTCACATCCCCCCTGCTGATTCCAGGCAGATCAATCAAGGTCAGGTCTGGGACATTTGGGGAGCTGACATATAGGCTAATGAGCTTATCACTGATCTCCAACTTTAACCCAGCAATGAAGTTCTGACCTGAAGAAGAGGAAAAAGTAAGTGAGATCAAATTTGGTGGGGGTGGGATAGGGAGACTAGAGGGCAGATGGAGGGGATCTTATTCCAGGGAACACTGGAAAAGCATGCCTTGGCTATGTAGTGACCCAAGGGGTTCCTGTATAGAAAAGTTGGGTTGGTCCCCAACTGGTCATATTTTGAGCTTATAGAAACTTGGGGAGGTCTATGGAAGCAGGTTGGAGGAAGCTAGATAGTGACAATTTTCCTTAGTTATGATAAAAGATAAGTTAGATATAAAACCTGAGACTCACAAATATAAGATAGATAGGATATTTAATTTTGCTTAGTTATTATAAATAGACTAGCTATTATAACTGTAATTCTTGCTTGATAATTGTTTTGTTATCTATAATTTTACTATGTAAAAGTTAAAACCTTCCTTTAAAAAAAAAAAGGAAAAGGGGAAGTGCTGTGGGATGTTCTGTATGGCAAATATGTTAATAAATAAAACACTGATTGGCCAGTAGCCAGACAGGAAGTATAGGGGGGACTAACAGAGAGGAAAATTAAGGGAACAGGAAGGGAAGGAGGAGACTGCCTGAAGCTACCGCCAGCACAACGAAGATGTAAGGTACCAGTAAGCCACAAGCCACGTGGCAAAGTATAGATTAATAGTAATGGGCTGAATATAAGAGTAAGAGCTAGACAATGATAGGCCTGAGCTAATGGCCAAGCAGTTTAAATAATATAAGCATATGTGTGCTTATTTTATAAGTGGGCTGTCGGACTGCTGGGGCTTGGTGGGACCCGGAGAGAAAACTCTCCAGCTACAGAAGTAGGTCACTTGGGGGCAGGTCTATATGTCTTATTTCTGGTCCTTTCCTGTGGCACTCTGTTTCCTCTCTGTCACCACTTGTTCCTATCACAAAAATGTTTCTTCCAGGATCACAGGAAAAGGTGACCATAGACAAAAATCCTTCTGAATCCAAGAGAGAAAGTATGTCCTCCTGTAAGGCATTCTGCCAGTACTGTGCCATAGCTACTGAGAAGGAATGCAAAGCCTCTTCTGTCCTGGGGTCCTGGGTGGCAGCAGGTTTGAAGGGGTTTCATTTTTGGTGCTGGGACAAGGTCCTGACAGAATAACTCAACACTTCTCCTCTGACTCCAGGCAGTGTTGACAGGAAGTCAGAGGATAAGGGACAACAGGACACCAACCTTTGTTGATGGCATCTTCCACCTCTGAGGGATCAGAGAGCTCCACTTCGATGCCATCATAGGTGACCTTGCCTCGCCATTCCTCTCCCTGCTCCAGCTTCTTCAATTTTAGCAGCACAGGGAATCTGGTTACAATGCCTAGGAGATTGAGGTCCATTTTAGCCCAGTGCTCTGGTGAGCACAGCCCAGGATCCAGCCTTAGACTAACACCCTTCCACACACTCATCTGCAGAGACTCTGGGAAGGGAAACATCTGGCCTCACTCTAATGTTGTCTGTCCAGTGTCATCCCAGGCCTATCTTTTGGGAATAGGAACCCAAGTCATGTTTATCCATTTGGGGTAAAAGCCATCAACCACTTCAGGCTGCTTCCTCCTAGTGTGGCACCCTCAGCTCTGTGGGGACACTGGTGGAACCTTTAATGTACCAGACATCTCCCACCAGCCCCCATGCATCCTGGTCACCATCCCTCAGGCCACTTTCTTATGCCTCCTGATATGATCTCCTTCCAACTCCTGCCTTATCCAAGGGATTTCACTGGGTCCCTAGAACACTTGGGCTCTGACCTCTTCCTGAGCACTCAAAGACCATGCCAGCCATGGAGTTTAAGCAGCAGCACTAACATGGACACCAGTATCTTCTCCAAGGGAAATGGTCACCTCAAAGGGAGGGGGTGGTACCTGACTACTTAGTGACAGTTTCTGCAAACTGCAGGTTTCAGGTGACTCTTGAAATGCACAGTGGGACAGTGCAATGGACTAAAGCTGCCCCACCCCAGCACTTGTGCTCAGCCCCAACACCTACAGTGACTGTTGGATACAGAGCCTGAAAGGAGATAACCTAGGCTGAAGGAAGGCTTGAGAAGCTGCATGGGTGGAGCCCTAACCACTGAGACTGGTGCCCTTGTGAGAGGCGGAAGAACCTGCAGGCTGCTCAGGGGAAAGGCTGCCCATAGTCAAGGAGATAGACCACCTTGACCTTCATTCTGCTGTGGGCCCAAACTGACAGAGATCTGTTTCTATCTTTGAGCCCCAGGTCCACAGCCTAGCAAGGCAATAAGCATGAGCTCTCACCACTGCCTCTGGGGAGGGCCACTCCTGACAGTGCTTCCAGCACAGAGCTCTTCCCTGAGCTCTGGTCCCCAATGACTGCAATGGCAGGCAGGGCCAGGTCCTGCTCCACACCCAGGGCCCGCAGGGAGTCGATGAGGTCGATGCAGGGCCGCACCTTCTCCTCATACTGCCTGCAGAGGTTGTTCAGGGACTCCTAGATGAGGGCAAAGCAAGAGTGAGTTTATGCTCCATGGAAGTGCTCCTGCAAAGACTGATGATTCAAGGACAATGTGCATGGTTTTAGAATCTCCAAGAGTGAGAAATGGGTAAATTAGAGGAAATAAAAAATATTGATTTTTGTATTGATGATCAAAATGACAGTATCCATGTTGTTGTGCATGGCCCATGAACCTAAGATTGCACATATTCCTGGATGCCACATACTCCTGATTATCAGAGCTGGACCTGCAAAGGTGACCTCAGGGTCACTGTTGCCAGAGAAGAGAAGTGACATGGGTTTTCAAGGAGGAAGTAAAGCCATTCAATTTCCCTTGTTCACCGTTTTTATAGGGCCATGGCAAAAACTGGACAAAGGCTGAAGTAATCTCTGTGGAGAGTGAACAGTAATTATCTGGACTGTTATGGGCTGAGCCAATGGCAGGGCAAACACTCTATGCACGTCCTCTGGCCCAACCAGGGAGATGATCGTGCATTGCTTATGCTCTGCCTGCCTAGTCAGAAGTAGTTGAAGTCCCGTTCTATGCATTTCTGACTCCAGCTTTGATCCTGACAACCCCCTAGCTATTGGTTTTCTTCCAGTTTTATTACCAGTCACACACACACACACACACACACACACACACACACACACCTTGCAGGTGTTATAGTTATGTTTATTATACTGAAATCTCTTTCTTCTGACATTGGTCAGCTTGTAGCACAGCAGAGAACTCTGTCACTGCCATCAAGATGTCACTGCAGTCTTTCTTGGTCACCTCATATTTGACTTCTCTGTGGGGTGGTCAGAAATGGGCTCCCAAGCACAAGCTTCTTGTTAGAAGCCATCCTTATGTACAATTTACTCTGCTACAGTTGGCCTCTGTAGAAGCCAGAATACAAGAAGGTCAGTCATGCCCTACATATATGTCCTCAAGGGCTTCCTGTGATCCTGCTGGCCTGTGTCACTGGACCCTGCTCCCTCTGCTATCTGTTTGACATGTTTATCTCATAGCTAACTCCAAGCCCTCCCACACATCTTCCACAGTCTTTAGACACCATCCTTTTAATCCTTAATCTCTCTTTTAACCACAGCCTCTGTTTTCACTGTGACATGTGTGGGCAGCTTGCAGTTGTCACCCTGGGCCATTTTCCCCTTACTACCTACTGCCTCTTTACCACCCTACTGCCTCCTTAAGGACACCATAACCCAAAGATTGATGACAGTCAACAAACTTTAGGTGCAGGACACACAAAAGAAATGACATCAAGGCCCATTTGAATCAAATGATTCAAAACTAGTTATAAACAGGAGGCATTAGAAGTAGTCAAAATATGACACCTTTCATACAAAGGGACAAGCAGAAGCTTGACAGCCAATTTCTTATCAGAAAGAATGGAAGTATGAAGACAGTGGGGTGGCACTTGACAAAACAATCTTGACAATTGGGTTACATCTCCATTTTGGAAAGTGTTTATACTGTTGACAAAATACCATGAACCTAGACTTCTATCCCTAGGAAAAATATCTTTTTGAAATGAGGGCAAGTTTGAAGCTACATCACCATGGAGAACCGGCAGTGAACACTGGATGGCTGGGAATTAGTATATCTTTGGCCAGCAATATGGCATTTATTTCCCAAGTTGCAAGAAGCAGGGAGGTTTGTTTGTTTATTTATTTACTTATATATTTTTATTTTATATTAAAATTTTTTTTTTCATTTTTCATACCAACAACCATTCTCCCTTCCATCCCTCTTTCAATGCCCAAATGGATTGTTTGGTATTTTGATGTCTAGCTTCTTGAGATCTATATGTATTTTGAAGATCTGCCTTTAGTCAGATGTGGAGTTGGTGAAGATCTTTTCCCATTTGTAGGCTTTTGTTTTGTCCTATTTACTGTGTCCTTTGCCTTAGAAAAGCTTTTCAGTTTTGGGAGGCCCCATTTATTGATTGTTGCTCTTAGTGTCTGTGTTATTGGTGTTAAATTTAAGAAGTGGTCTCCTGTGCCAGCATGTTCAAGGATACTTCCTACTTTCTCGTCTATCAGGTTAATGTAACTGGATTTGTGTTGAGATCTTTGATCTTGGACTTGAGCTTTGTGCATGGCAATAGATATGGCTCTATTTGCAATCTTCTACATGTTGATATACAGTTATGCCAGCACCATTTGTTGAAGATGCTTTCTTTGTTCTATTAGACAGTTTGGGCTGCTTTGTCAAAAATCAGGTTTTCACAGGTGTGTGGATTAATTCCAGGGTCTTTAATTTGATTCCATTGGTCCACATGTCTGTTTTTATGCCAATACCAAGCTGTATTTAGTACTATAGCTCTATAGTAGAGCTTGAGGTCAGGGATGGGTGACCCCTCCAGAAGTTACTTTATTGTATAGGATTGTTTTAGCTATCCTAGGTTTTTTGTTTTTCCATATAAAGTTGAGTATTGTTCTTTTGAGGTCTGTGAAGAACTGTGTTGGGATTTTGATGGTGATTGCATTGAATCTGTATATTGCTTTTGTTAAGATTGCCATTTTTATTATGTTGATCTTACCTATCCATGAGCATGGGCAATCTTTCCATTTTCTGATATGTTCTTCAATTTCTTTCTTCAAAGACTTAACTTTTTTGTCATACAGGTCTTTCATTTGTTTGGTTAGAGTTACCCCAAGGTATTTTATATTTATTTGTGGCTGTTATAAATGATGATGTTTCTCTGATTTCTTTCTTGGCCCATTTATCATTTTTATATAGGAGGGCTACTGATATTTTTGAATTAATCTTGTGTCCTGTCACATTACTTAATGTGTGTATCGGTTGTAGGAGTTCCCTGGTAGCATTTTTGGGATCACTTATGTACACTATCATATCATCTGCAAATAGCAAAAGTTTGACTTCTTCCTTTCCAATTTGTATCCCTTTGATCTCCTTTTGTTGTCTTATTGCTCTAGCTAGAACTTCAAGTCCTATATTTAAAAGATATGGAGAGAGTGGACAGCCTTGTCTTGTTCAATTTTAGTGGAATCACTTTGAGTTTCTTTCCATTTAATTTGAGTTGGCTGTTGGCTTGGTGTAAATTGCCTTTATTATGTTTAGGTATGTTTCTTGTATTCCTGATTTCTCTAGAATCTTTATCATGAAGGGGTGTTGGATTTTGTCAAAGGCTTTTTCAGCATCTAATGAGATGATCATGTGCATTTTTTCTTTCAGTTTCTTTATATGATGGATTACGTTGACAGATTTTTTAGATGTATGTTGAAAGATCCCTGCACCTCTGGGATGAAGCCTACTTGATTATGTTGGATGATATTATTTTTTGATATGTTCTTGGATTCGGTTTGCCAGTATTTTATTGAGTATTTTTACATCAATGTTCATAAGGGAGATTGGTCTGTAATTCTCTTTCTTTATTGATCTTTGTGTGGTTTGAGTATCATGGTAACTGTAGCCTCGTAAAAGGAGTTTGGCAATGTTCCTTCTGTTTCTTTTGTGTGAAACAATTTGAAGAGTATTGGTATTAGCTCTTTGAAATTCTGGTAGAATTCTGCACTGAAACCATCTGACCCTGGGCTTTATTTGGTTGGGAGACTTTTAATGATTGTTTCTATTTTCTTATGGGTTATAGGTCTATTTAAATTGTTTATCTGGTCTTGTCTTAATTTGGGTACGCATACCTATTCAGAAAGTTATCCGTTTCTTTTAGATTTTTCTAATTTTGTGGGTTTTTGAAGTATGACCTGATGATTCTCTGCATTTCCTCATTTTCTGTTGTTATATGCCCCTTTTTGTTTCTGATTTTGTTATTTGGGTATTCTCTCTCTGCCTTTTTGTTAGTTTGATAAGAGTTTGTCTATCTTGTTGATTTTCTCAAAGAGCCAACTCTTTGTTTCATTGATTCTTTGTATTGTTCTCTTTGTTTCTATTTTATTGATTTCAGTCCTCAGTTTGATTATTTCCTTGTGTCTATTCCTCCTAGGTGAGTTTGCTTCTTTTTGGTCTAGTTTTCAGGTGTGCTATTAAATTGCTAGTGTTAGATTTCTCCAGCTTTTTTATGTAGGCATTTAGTGCTATGAATTTTCCTCTTAGTACTACTTTCATGGTGTCCCATAAGTTTAGGTATGTTGTACATTCATTTTCATTGAATTCTAGGAAGTCTTTAATTTCTTTCTTTATTTCTTCCTTGACCAGTGGTGATTCAGTCAAGCATTATTCAGTTTCTATGAGTTTTCAGGCTTTCTGTAATTTGTGTTGTTATTGAATTCTAACTTTAAACCATTGTGCTCTGATGATATACAGGGGTTTGTTTGTTTGTTTGTTTTTGTTTTTTGTATTTGTTGAGATTTTCTTTGTGACCCAGTGTGTGGTCAATTTTAAAGAAGGTTCCATGTGGTGCTGAGAAGAAGGTATATTCTCCTGTGTTTGGATGGAATGTTCTTTAAATGTCTGTTAAGCTCATTTGAGTCATAACATCTGTTAGTTCCCTTATTTCTTGTTAAATTTCTGTCTGAAGACCTGTCCATTGGTAAGAATGGGGTGTTAAAGTCTCCCTCTATTAGTGTGTGGGGTTTGATGTGTGATTTAAGCTTTAGTAATGTTTCTTTTATATATGTGGGTGCCCTTGTATTTGGGGAATTAGTGTTCAGAAATGAGACTTCATTTTGATGGATTTTTTCCTGTGATGAATATGTAATGCCCTTCTCCATCTCTTTTGATTAATTTTAGTTTTACTTCAATTTTGTTAGATATTAGGATAGCTACACCAGCTTGTTTCTTAATTCCTTTTGATTGGAAAGTCTTTTCCCAACTTTTTAATTTTAGGTAGTATCTATCTGTCTTTGAAGTTGTGGTATACTTCTTGTATGTAGCAGAAAGATGGATCCTGTTTTCATATCTATTCTTTTAGCTTATGCCTTTTTAGAAGCAAATTGAGTCCATTGATATTAAGGGATATTAATGGCCAGTGATTGTTAATTCCTGTTATTTTTTGGTGGTAGTGTGTGTG